GGTTGGGTTGATACTGTCATGAACATCAAGTAATCTCATGCTTTCCAACCGTACTTGAAATGGGCATGTACCAGTATTTTTTTCGGGGTGAAGTGGTTTTACTCACAGCATTTACTATTGTATTCGCAAACGGTTGCACGTAACTTGAAATTTCGGGTCTGGCGGGACCAACGAGAGATTGGTTGGGTTGTTCTCGTCATGTGTATGGTACTCTCGGCCATTCTTTGTGAGCGCCGTGCCAACATTTGTAGCGTCGGTGGCGCTTGGACTGCAACATGGTAAGTAAGACCACGACCTCTGGTGTGTGTGCCGGTGCACGTTTCATGATGCTCAACATCAGAGGCGTGTCGAGCTCCTCGTTTCCCCTCCACCATCACCAGCTACGGTGTTATATTAATAGTAGTTATAGTGGCAGCGGTGGTGCGTGGTTTGGTTGTACAGTACCGGCACGCCCCAGGGTTAGTTTGGAGCATGTCGTATTCCGCCCTTCACGCATCAAGCATCGCAAGGGTGTCATCATCCATCAGCAGAGGAAATAACAGCAACAACACCACCAACATCATCATCATCATCACCAGGTGCATCATCATCCAATGGGCAGAGGAAATAACATCTACAACACCACCAAAATCATCATTATCATCACCAGGCAGCAGCAACAACAACAACAACAGCAGCATCACCATCATCACCAGCAGCAGCTGCAGCAACAGCAACAGCAACAGCAGCAACAACATCAAGAGAAGCTTACCTCCGGGAGGTTGGAGGTGTAGATGCCGGCAGCGATCCCTCCCGCCGCAATGGCTCCCATGTTGGCGATGAACCACTCGGCCGAGTTGAAGCCGATGATGTTGATCGACCGGTGTGGCGCGAAGCCCAACGACATGAGACTCTTGCCGAACCTACCATACAGCAAAAATAAATAATAATAATAATAATAAAAAAAAACTTCACATCAGAATGAATCGCAGATGCCTTTCAAAGGACGGCAGGCATGTGCTAACGCGAATACAACATCAGCAACAGTACTACAGCAGCAGCACCGCCACCACTGTGACCAGCAGTAGCAGCAGCAGCAGCAACGACACCACGCATCATACCGTAACAGCATAAGAACAAAACCAACAACAACAACAACAACAACAACAACAACAACAACAAGGACAGATGTCCACCCTGAATGCCGTCGCCCCCACCTGAGCGTCTCCATGTAGTACTGCGCCCAGGTTAACGTCGCCCATGGGGCATCGTCCGTAGACACGCCCTATGGTTGTATGATAGAAACAACGGAAGAGTGAAGAAGGCACACGCACGCTAAATGGTCAGCCGCAGCATGCATTTACCACTCAACGAAACCAACATAAACACACGAAAACTCGCACTCGTGCCGCTCAGACGGGAAAAAGAGAGCAGAGGGATACGAGACAACTGCTGTGGCTAAATATCACGGAGGCTTGCGATAAGAAATCAACGAAAAAAAACATAACGATCCTCCAGTTGGCCTCCATCTCCCCATCTCAAAGGACAACCACATAACACGGGGGGGGAACAAGATGGTGTGGTCGGTGGGTTGATGGGGGTTCGCTGGATGAGATCGCCTCGCACACAAAATTACCCCCCGAACGTGCGCATGTCTGCGATGTATATAGCCTACCGCGTTCGAGAGTGCGTGTCCAAGTCTGCCCCAACGGCACGGGGGTGGGCCTGGCGTGTTCCCATCCATAGGGCCTCTCGCAAAGAAGGGGGGGGGGGGTGGTAATCCTGGGACTCTCGTCTTTCAGTAGAGATAGATGAATTCGCTGTGCCATTGTAAAAACATCGAAAAACCACGCCGTGCTCCCTTTTACTCTCTCCCCGACACTATACTTCGTATGGTTGTCTTCACATGAAAAACCGTTCCGGTCTCCGGTCAGTACCTTCTAATGTCCGTATACTACTGGTCCAACCGACGCGGACGCCTTCCGCGGTCCAACTGACGCGGACGCCTTCCGTGGTACAACTGACGCGGACGCCTTCCGTGGTCACAAGGGCCACACATGAAAAACCAACACTCCCCTTTCCCCTCCTCATCAACAACATATAGTCCCCCCCTCTACCCTCCCATCAACCACC